ATTTGAAAAAATATAATACAAATTGAAAATTCATATAATCATGTTATATCTAAATTATATCATGTTATATCATGTTTTATCTAAACTATACATTCTGATTCTAAAGTATAAAATTCATCTTGAATTTTTTATTTAATAAGATAAAAATAGAACACGAAATAGAGAGATAATTATATTTGATGTATAATAAATCTCTCTAATATATTTGAAATTTAAATATTTTTCGATCATTAGGATAATTTATGAACTGAATAAAAATAATATATTCGTACGTAGAAATACAAGGTAATAAAATAAAACGAGATATGCATCTGCAAGCTAATCTGCAGTACTTTGAACTGCCTTTAATCCTCATTGTTAGCTCAACGACCTCGTAAACCGTATTTTTCCCTCTTCGAAATGCGGTTTGAAAAGTAACGAATAAAACTTTTAACCACGGAAAAAAAATTCGGCAAAACTTCACATTTCCGTCCATAAAAGGTCATTGACTGCCATTGTCACGAACAATACAGTACGCATGGCGTTTTCGTTGCAACGGCGACGGGTTCATTGCGCTCTTGCATTCTATGTTGCATACCACCTGTAGGGAAGTCATGCGCTTATGCATCGAGCATATCGCGGAACCATGTGCTCTGACAATTGACGGTGTTTTCGCGGGAGCATCAATTACGCGACTATACCGGGACTAGACCGAGGGCTGAGCGAGAGAGGTACGACGTGTTTGTATGACCGCGTGCGTGTGTATGCATGCGTATACCCGGTGATCGAAATCAACCGTGCTCGAAGCTTACGACATACGGTCCCTCGGAGTCATTGACACCGAGAATCGCTATGGAGTTCAATTGGATGCCCCTGTGATTTTAGACTCGCCGCTGATTTACGGATTGCGCCGAGAGAAAGGCGATTCGCGTCGCATTCGGATTCGCAACGGAAGATGCGAACTGTGTGCGTCTTCGAGATTATTCGAGATGTATTCAAACGTGCCTCAGGCGTCCTATAATGTTAATTAAATTCTTCTATACTATTAAAATTAGGAACAAACTGTTTACTGTTCGATCAAATTCTTCATGCAACATGATACAATTTCGGATATCTTGAGTCGATAGTTTAATTTTAATATTATGTTTATTAATCCCACTTATAGTATCAAAATAAATACTTCTGTGCGCAAAAAAAATTATATAATTATTACAACTTTTTAAGTATCTAAATTTCATAAAAAATTTTCAATTTTTTCGATTTTGCAGCTGAAATAACTATCAACATATACATTTTGCTGGAGAATAACTTTCAAATTAAAAATGAGGAGAAAAATCTATTAAAAAATAATTTTAATTAAATTAATTAAAATTATTAGAAAAAGAATATTCCACAATAACTTTTTCAAACGTTACCTTCTATTAAAATGTTAAATAAAAAAGCAGTTAAATATTTACTGAATTAATCGAAAATTCTTAAACCAGCTTTATGCTATTTGGATCTGCTTATTAAGATCATTCCTTCTTAGTCAATAACTCAACATTACGTACAATCCGTAATGCACGTAATCACTGATTACATAAAATGATTGCACTTACACGATAATCTCATTCATCGCAGAACCACTCTTCCGTGCAACATCTGCTATCGATAATGGGTTGACTATTAAACACAACTATCCGCAATCAATAAGGAATTCGCATTACGCATCGCGGCAACCAAGATCCCCGACGACTTGTGCCGCAATCAAGACTCTTTTCATAGATACTCGTCAGTCTTTGAACCGACAAACAGAACGATCTTCTCTATTCCTATCTATGACCGTCGCTCAACGTCATTAGTGATCATTTAACGAAAGTTTAAGTATTTGTTTTTTCCGCTTATTTTTTAATCAATTTAGGTCTTCAAACCACAAGATGAAATTGTTTATATGAATCGTCTTTAAAGCGATGGCAGTTTTCTATTTAAAAGAAAATTCAATTATAGAATAACTCGTGATAAAATAATGATTACATATAAAATGTAAAAAAGTGTCACAACATACACAAGCATACTATAATTTACTGAAATTAATATAAATTATACGTTTAAATTTGTGTCGACGAAACCTAATGTTAGATTGCATATCTTCCATATAATCGCGAAAATAAGCAACAATAATATACAATTTGCGTTATTTATATCTACATCTAAAATACCGAACAATACATCACTCTCTTTTGATTTCGACTATCATAGATTCTCGAGAGAGAGAGATTCGTTACTTTGTTAGAGTTTTGGCAAGTGTCTCGCTATCGCAAATAATCACTGTCGTTAAAATGTCACTCGATGTCATGGCATATCGCTCTAGATCGCTCTAGAACGACAAGATCGATAGCACACAGATTTATATACATACACATTTTCATCGTGTTTAAGCTTCCGATGCGCGCCACAAGTGCTATTTATAGATAAATATATAGGTACTTGCCTATACATTTCCCATGATAACTGTGTATGTGACATACACAGTTATCATGGGAAATGTGATATGCAGCTGTGATGTTACTTTTTGTTTCTTGTAAGACGTCAGTTTGATCAACGAGAGTCGGAAAAATCGTGCCGTCGTACACGCAAACGCTGCATGGCGATGTTTCCAGAGACACAACATCTCATACGAGAGATAGACAAATTTGATAACGTGTGAAAAAAAGAGACATCGCATTATTATATGTGCTCTGAGTTCGCATTACGCAAGTGTCATTCCTCTAAATAACGCGAGCAAGTTCTAATTAAAGTTTAATAGAATAAAAAAATGAATCGTAAAATATTCAATCACATATTTTTATCATGTGCTGAAAAAGTGTCACATATATTAATCTTTAAAATACTTATTTAATTCTTATTTTTTATTTAATTTTTTTCTAGTAATTATTTCTTAGTATTTTTTTCTATAAACTTTATAAAGTTAATTATTACATATATAAAGCATAGATATAATTTTGTATTGAATTTTTCAACAATAATATTAAAGTAAGATATATTGGGTGATGATTGTTATATTTTAGGTAATTGTATGGATAATAAACAAAGTTGTGCTGTCAATCGAATATAGCGAATCGGTATTGTCTTGGTAATGACCAGTTGACATCCACGTGCGCATTTTTACGCATCGCCGCGAAGTTTCGAGGCATCATATGGTGTTGAATGCGTGACGCGTCAATACATATCGTTATCTAACATGTGCGCGACACTATTGCACTCGCTACCGAAATACGCGTGCGCATGTATGTACGTGCCGGTAAGAAACGGATACGGCGCTTCCACGTGGAGGGCAATGAGCTTTATGCTGAATAGTGCAAACACGCCACGACCACATGCGTCCATTGCGCGTTTTTTACGCCTTTTTAAAGTAATGACTACTGTCATTTCAACAATTGTTCGACGAAAGGCCAATAACCTTCGTCATGTTTATGATGGATACTAAATATGGCCATTGACGTCTTCAGGAATTTCTCGCTGGTTCACATCCATTGTAGTTTATTGACCGCATATCATTTTGATATTCGAAATAATCGATTATATAAGACATGTGTTTGTAAAACTTTCAATGAAAAAAAGAGATAAAGATGCTAGTATAGTGTGTTATATAATTTTGAAATTATAATTAAATTTTATAATTAAAATATACCAGAAATTAATGTTAACGATTTTAACTTTCGTACGAAAAAACTGAATATATATTAAAAGTATAAAATATGTATTTAAAGTTGCTCGTGAAATCGATATCTTTAAAGCAAATATGACTCATATCAGCAACGCAAAGAAATATCTATGATGACGACTATCTAAATTCCTACATGTACATTGCTTATCATAAACACGAAATTTTTAATAAAATTTGATAAGGAAGAAAAATATATATTCAATAGTAATAAACGAAGTCAACAAACTACAATTTAATTGTGACACTTTGCGCGCGTTAGAAGTCTAATGTAGAGTGAAACGATCTGATAAGCTAGCTGTGACGATCTGAGATCGTAACTACTCTTCGACCCTATTAAGAAGCAAGACTCCCCCAAACCAACCCTCTTTATCCCACTATCCCCCCGAGGAGTTTGCGCGTGACCGTTTAACGATCCACGGCCATCTTGGACGCACGGCGTCGGCGTCGCTCGTCACGTCATCCAACGGGATTGCGGCCTCTCCGGAAACTGCGAAGGAAGGCCTTCGTTCTTATCACCTACGATAGATGGCGATGTTGGTTCTTATCCGGTTTTCTAGATGTGTGCCAAGTGTAAAATAAACCTTCTCAAACCCTCCCAAACACTAACATTTATAGAATTCTAACTATATCTTATAGTCAGATTAGCGATGATCAGCTCCCTTTCAGAGAGAGAGAGAGAGAGAGAGAGAGTGACAGATATTATGTTTTATATATTTTTTATTTGTTTATTGATATATATTTATGCAAGAAATTACTGCAATTATTTCCCCCAAAAAAACTAGCAAACTACTATCAAATATGAATCATCTGCATTCATTCTTATTTTCTCAATATTTCAAATTGATATCCCTTTAAATAAACTTAAATAGTCTTTAATAGTTTTTTAAGCGCATGATAGTCAAGCAAAAATTTTATATTCAAGACCAGTAAACAAATTTATAATTTGTTGTAATGTATGTAAGTCATAAAGCTAAACAGTCTATATTAATTTTTTATTCCCACGTAAAAATCATAAACTTTTTCTTTGCATTTGTATTTAAACAATCAATCATATATGCACAAATAAAATTTTGAGTCTGTATTTAGAAATTATAATATATATGTGTGTGTGTGTATATCACAAATTAAACAACTATTGATATTTTTTATAGAAAGCACCTTGCACAATTTTTAATAGGATATTGCACATACAGCCGAATTATAAAGTTGTAATAAACGTGAAGTATTTTGGTTAATCAAAGATTACACGTGGAACGGAGGTATAACATTATTAAAGAGATCTCGGAGCGATCTTAACGGCGTACTGTAATTTCAGCGATTCATTATCGTCCGTTGGATGCGAATGAAAGAGAGAGGGCGGAAGAAAGGAAAAGAGATTCACGGCTGTTATACGGAGCGCATAAACGGCCCGGCGCGAGAAACATAAAGGGCGCCTTCTTGCGTTTATCGATCTAATTGTCGGAGAACTTAATTGCGGGGGATGAGAAACGACCTTGAGGAGGGTCGTCGCCGTTAGCACCACCTCCGCCGCCTCAGAGACCGAAGTTCAAGCATCCTGGGACTTCCGTGAGAGAAGGTAATTACGAAAGTGACCTGCCCCAACGAAATTTGCCTCCTTCCAACCAAAGACCGAGCGACTTGTTAATGAAGAAACCTTGCACGTGTTTTGGTCCACGTGGAGCGAACATTCTTGTACATCGATAAATCAGTATCAATATGCGGAAATTAATCAGTTTTACAACGTACTTTAATAAATTGTTAAATTAAAAAATAGAATATTTATCACAAAATTGATCATTTTGGAACGTTTTCTCTTGTTGTTCATTTTAGGTACTTCATAATAACGAAAAATTGAATATTAGAGAAAGTATGAAAGAAATTAATTTAAAAAATTTTTATACAGAATCTTTTAGTTAAACGCAACAAGTCATTTAATTACCGTGTCATGAACTAATTAAAAATATTATCTAATGTGACTTCATATATAAAATTGAAATATTGTATATATTAAAATAAACTTAATAATATACTGTTGTAAATTTAATTTTGTAATGTTCCCTTATTGTTAAAATATATGCACGTATTGAGCTATACATATATATTTTGTTAATCTAAATCATTAATTAAGAAAGATTATTTCGAAGAAATAATACTATATTAGCGTCTCTCAATGTTAAATCAATTAAAAAAATACTGTAACATATAAACACATTAAATAGTAATGTTCAGGATATTAATACGAAATATCGACGTAGCTAAGAGATGTATATTATGGCGACAGAAAGTACCGAGGTTAGTAAGAACGAATAAGAAATAAGAACGGTTTCGATTCAAAAAGTCAGAGCAACTGCAGACGCGTCAAGAAAGAGAAATCTCTCAGCTCGTAACCGGTATGTCTCCTTTGATGGGAAATCCGTGAAAAGTCGAGATTGAATTATCCTACCGTCGTCGCAGGACTAGAGACGGAGAGAGAAGAGCAAAATGAAAAAAAAAAAAAAAAAAAAAAAAAAAAACCTGCAGACGGATACGGAAAGGGATGACGCGAGGGTGGGCGGAGAAGAAGAAGCGAGAAAGAGCGAAAGACTCGCACACGAGAGAGGGAGGGAAAATGGGAGAAAATAAAATATACCCCGGCCATTGGCGCGACTTCGTTTCGTACATTTTATTTGAGCCAATTGGATTTATTTATGCGGGTGGTCTAGGGGGTTGGGAGCTGCGCGAGAGGGTGTACGAGACGGAATAGCGCGAGGCTGGTAAAGGAGTTTCCCTCTTTTCCCACCTCACCCCCTCACCCCCACCACGCCCTTTCGCTGTCCGGGACTCCACACTTTATTGTATATTTAATTCCTCGTTGTTTATCTCCGTCCCGTTCTCGTATCTCGTGCAGGTTTAAACAGATATTTCAGCGGCAGAAAGCTGTTGTGAAAGCAAAAGAGACGGTGGGAAAACGTGCAAAAAAAGGAAAGAGTAAGAGAAAAAAATGATCATAAAATCTTGCCGAAGATGGCATTATTGCTCTTTGAATTCCGCTTCTGCCAAAGTTTGTATTTTCAAGATATTACAAAATTCGCACTATCGAACGCTAAACAAGATCGACTGATCAATATTTTAAAATATCGCGATTATTTAATAATAAATGCGTTTCAAATTCTGAACTATTGCTATAGACATATATATATAGACGGATAGAAAAACCAGTATTTATACTCTCTGCCAGCAATGTGCAAATTCTTTGGAAATGTAATGGATATGCTATAAAAATGTATATATGTAAAAATATTTGTATAAAAATCAAATCTATATCTCTTAAAGTTATATACATATGTATCAATCAACATTTTAATAACATTGCTCCTATACCTGTTGGTTACGGTACATAGGCATATATGTATATATTGGTAAACCATGTATTATTCTATCAGAGTATTCTGTGGTTACTCTACTCAAACAACAAGATCAATCCAATAAATTCTGTTGAAATTGGTAGAACCATTTGGATACAAATGCCGGTAGAATAGCTCGCTTCCGCTTTTGAAACCACGAATGCCAATTTAGCTCGAATCAACCTCACGCGTTGTTAAACAATATACATTTTTACTTGATTATATAACTTGCAATACAAATTGCATGTTGTAGAAATTTACAGTCGAAAAATTTTACATAAAAAAGCTGTAAATGTCAAAGTATCTTGAATATAATTTCATTCTACGTATGCGTATAGAATCGAAGCTTTTTGAAAGTATTATTAATCTTGACACGTATACCGAGTCCAACAGCTATACAGTTCGAATAATATCGTATTTACGAGTTGTTTATCTGACATTTCCAATAATACTTGGACTTGCGCGTTTTTACTACTTCGTCCTCGTTCGCAAAAGACGTTTGACGATAGTCTGCAGTTTCTAAGAAAGAAACGAATGCGCCGCAAAGACGATCAGAAGTTATACCGGAATAGTGGGGGAACTGGCTTACTTCCGGTTCGCCTATTCGCGCCACCATCCGGCACGAGCTGCATTCTCACGCTCATCTACATACTCGGTCGTACATCAATATTCGGAGCGGCCGGGAAACGGGCTTCGCTTTGCATACTGGACCCCCCGCTCGTGTCATTTCATCTTTCGTAGGGATCCCAGTGGGACATCGCGTGGCAGATCCTGAGAAAGGAGTCGCGCACAAAATACACCCCACGGACCGCCGCCCAAGTCTTCGTACGTGCCGATGAATTCACGAAGGAAACGCGAATCGGCGCTTTCGAGAATCGTAACGCGAAGCAATTCCGTAAAACTATGATATAATATCAAATGAGACACGAATTTCGTCACATTTTTAACTGTTATAGATTTACGTCTGAAAAATGAATCGTGTATAACAATTTATATTTCCCTATTGTACATTTTTTTTTTTTTTTTTATTTCATTTGATTATATATTTTTAATTAAAAGCGATTTATTAAAAATTCTATAGATTAAGAAATTAGTTCTAAAAGAATAATAAATAAATTATTATTAAGTATCGTCCCTATCGTCCCTTATCGTCTTTTCTAGACCAAATCGATATCGATCATCGGATTAAAATATGCATTTTAATAGATGCAATTGTAGACACAACATGCGGTTGCTTTCTCGCAAGGGACCGACTCTACCATTCTTCCTCGTAATTATTATGCTTTACAAAGGATCGCGAACGGTGGCGCGAGCGGTGAATGTGTACGAGCCTGGAAGATGGAATGTGGGTTGCGTAATTTAAATAATTCAGGAATGACCCTGACCCCGGATAGGCTACAGGGTGACCTGCAGCCGGCGATTACAATCACAATGCATCGCCGAGTTCTCAGGGTAAGACAGGTAGCGCCGTCTGACCCGCATATATTAAATCAAAATTATTGGCTCTTCGAGTCTGATATATACATTGTATATATGTGTACGCATACATACATATATATATATAAATGTATTTATTAATTTTTTGGATGCTTTTAAAATTCAAGTCTTTTTTCCAATTTTATATGATTGAGAAGACAGAGAAAGATAAAAATAGAGAAATAATAAAAAGAAAAAGAAAAAAAAGTGAACATCTAAATTCTTCAAAATTAAATTCGAGACAACAATGGTCGCATGACCAGTCGCATCGCATTATCATCCTACTGAAAGCAGAAACTGGACTTATCCGCCATGGTACACATAGATTGAGAAGCATCGAATATTTAACCGGCACGCATTTAAATGGCCCGATTCGCAACATTAACATAACGGTAGGTAATTCCAGATGTCAAAGCTTGACACTGCGTTTTACGTTCAAGGGTACGCATCTCGCCGAGATCCCACGGTAAGAAGTTAGACTGTTCGGTCTTGAAATCAGCGATTTCGAATATAGGATAGCCGATGCTTTTTAAATGATATGCAGGATGCACGGCGCACGAAACTCCGTGAGAAATTGCGGATAATCTGCTCGCCGGATCAAAGCCTTTTCGACAATTGGAGATATGCAAAATAGGATTCATTCAATATAAGCAGAAGCCGTTTCACTGTTGCATAGATCAATTGTAAGTTGCATTTCGAAAGACGCAATGCAAAGCGTTATGCAAATAATATAAAAAGAAAACAAACTCTTGTGTGAAAGGCTGTCGGTAAACTCAATTCATTTCAGTAAGCCTTGTTACTTTAATTAAATAATTGTTACGAATTTTTTCTGTCAATATTAAAGCAAAATATAGATTTAAAAAAGCATATGCGGCAAGATTAAAAGAAATGTCTTTGTCAAATCGTTGTTAAAATATTTTTTTTTACTTATTTAAATAATAAAACATATTTAAATAATAAATATTGAAAAATCTATATTTATCTCCTCAACGTCAATATCGCGCACAGCCTTTATGAGCAATCTAAGATCGTAAAATAAGATGAACTAGATATTTTGATCAATAATTCTCTTCATAAATGTTAAAAATGTTCAGTGGCAATTATTTCTTAATAATATCTAATAAAATTGTTTCAATTTGAAAATTAAGATTAAATTTTTTAAATATAATGATAAATAATACATCGCAAGTTGCGACATATATTGTATGAAAATTAATTAAAAGCATATCGTCATGTTAATTAGTCCGGAGAGATCATCTTGTCAAACGACGCGACGCATAATAATACAATAACAACACGCGATCGAGATTTATTGACGAATAACGTGGTCGGGGCAAAATTAGCGTTTTCGATGCTCGGAACTAAACGACCGAAGGGTTGTAAGCTGGTATGCAGATGAGCCGACATGGTCGACCCCGGAGGCGGATGTTGGCAGTCTGCAGTTACGTAGACAATAGGCCAGTACCATTATGTCCATCGAATCCTAAAACCCTATAGAGTCGTTCTTCTCTGTCTACAGGTATTATCCCGCTAGTGGCAGGCCACATTGTGTAACCAGCCTACCACGGGACCTCGGGCATTGTCGGTCCACCTAATTATTCGCAAATCTTCCGCTCATTGCCGGTAACTCGTCCTCTCCCATTCCTCCCACTCTCTAATTCGCGAAATTCCATCGCTTCTCTAAAGCTGCTGCGTTCGGTCGTCATGATTTACGCGATCCCTCGTTTTCCCCTTCCTTTTCTCGTTTCACGTTAGCTTTTCGCGATATCGAATATTTCATGATTGATATAATATTCTCGCGTATTTAATAATATAGGATTATTCCTACAGAATATAGCACGGAACCTACTTACATCGGTGTTAGGATTCGTTATGAGTGTGTATACGACGTGACATTTATTCAGAATTAATTCAATCTTAAATAAATACGTGCATCACTTACCTCAAATTAGCTTCTGAGGGAGAAATTGTATTTTTCTACAATTTTCTTAAAAATTGCCCTATTTTGCAAATTATTTCAATTATACTACTACATAGAGCAAACATCTTTGATTAGAACATCTTTGATTTAAATTCAATTTATATAGATTTACCTAAATTATTTACATCGTGTTTTACTAGTTGAATAATATATAAACTTCTATTTCTCTCTCTCCTATGATCTTTCTCGAAGATTAAAAAAATATGTTAATTATTTTTTGCAAGATTGAACAAACATTTTTATAAACAAATTACTATTTGCCGCGATATTTTGTAATTGTTAATCAGTTGAATTTTGTGAACAGCTAATCTCACAGATTCATCTATATTTACTTAATTATGACATGACAGTTTATGATAACTAACATCATGCGTTAAATGTATTAATAAATTCTCTCGGTCAAATGGAAACGTTAATTGCATCACTATTTTGAGTGCAACAGTATGCCATTTGAATCCATAAATAAATTGAACAAGCAAGTTTGACTGCAAGATACGTACATATATTTATACGTATTATATATATATATACAGGGTTTGTCCGGAAAGTAATGCGTCGCATTTTTTTAAAAAAGAATTTATTGATCGCATAGGTAAAACAACTTAAAATTGTTCGAAGTATGACCCTTCTGCGTCAATACATTTTTGCCAACGCGATTTCCATGCGTCATAAGATTTCTGGAACTCCTTGACTGGGATGCTGTTCAGGGAGGCCGTCGAAGTAGCTTGTACGTTGTCAACCGACTCGAGCTGTTGTCCTTTGAGCTCCCTTTTCAGCCGAGGAAATAAAAAAAAGTCCGCCGGGGCCAAACTTTCTTGAGCATTTCAAAAGTTTCCAGCGGCGTCTTGTCCAGCTTCACGCAAAACTTTATCGCATAGCGTTGCTCTATCGTTCTCTCCATCACAAGTTCGACGCGACCACTAAGCAGAGGTTCACAGAATAAGCCGTCCTAACCCTCCAAGCGCATGGAAACAATTGAGCGACCTACCGTTGGAAAGCTAAGGGTACCCCCCTTCCTCCCCAACCGGTCCCATCGCTCTGCGATGTATAGTCGCGTCACAAAAAATGCGACGCATTACTTTCCGGACAAACCCTGTATACTAAATATATGACTCACCTCAGGATCATTTGATTCTGCTCTCTTATATGTAAACAATGGAGCCAACTTATCGTAGAGGTTTACACGTTCATGAAGATCTTTGAAGGGGTTTTTAGTGCTGAAGAAGTCGAGATCGATGTCCAAGATATATGGAGTGTCCTTTTCAGGTAGATATTGACGTAACATCGAGCTGACGGCAATAAAGTCATCTTTCTGGAACATAAATATTAGACAAATCGTATTATAATATATGTCAACTTGTCATGTGCGCTCTTTTTAAAAATACCTTCTTAAAAATATCTTCTTAATATTATAATTCTTAAGAGGTTCCTGAATCAAATTTTCGCAAATTAATAATTGTTCTAATAAATGGGTTCGCATAATTTTTCCGTGAATCTACAAAATATTTACATATTAAACATTTTATATAACTAACTGCCGCGTGGGAGAAAGAAACGAAAGAGGGAGAGGATATGCAGTTTTACAATTAAACATTAAAAAAGTGTTGTTCAACGTTGATGAACGCTCTATTTGGATTATTTGTGACTGAAAGCGAGGTTATTCACTGGAAGATATCGCGTGATGAAACATGAGCATTCAGATCTGCGAATTAGCGACGCTATATTACTCAATCCTTTTTTGACGCTGCGCGCTGACATCGCTGGCGAAAAACGTTGACGATAATTACCAATAAAATGATCGATTGCCGAACGTTATATCGAAACTCACGGCCTGTTCGGTCCAATTTCCAAACAGGATTTCACCGACCATAGGAATATACGAGACGCTCGACGACGTGCGCAACCGCTCGTATGAACCGGATATTGTTCATAGCGGGGCAAAACGTGATGCTGCCCGCGTATAGAGGGTTTTTTGTGACGCACAAAAAACAATGACTGCACTCGAATTAATTCTGTTAGAATTGATACTCGGCCCCGGCACTGGGATCGCAATTTGCATGCGTTCACAACAATGAAATACAACGGTGCACGCGGGGTGAGCTGTAATACTATCGCGAGGAAGAGGTGGGGAAAAAAGGGGAGAGAAACGGTAGGAGGAGAAAAGCAAAGCCAACAATCACCCTGAGCAGTGACTCTCAAAGCTTTTAACGGTTTCGATGCAACAAGGCCATTTTTTTTCGGAAGAATATTTTTCAATCGAATTGAGTGAACGCCAAAAGCATCAATTTTTTTTGAAGTAGAAAAAAGACAATGCATGCTTTTAGAAAGAGATATTTTAACAAAAAGATTTAACAAAATAATTACATCTTATAACGATATATATTTTCAGCATATATGTAGAATCCTACAAGTTTATCTATAAACGAAAATGAGATCTCATAAAGGATCTTTAATATTTTATTCTTTAGAAAACTAGAGAAAATCCTGCAAAATTTATATGCTATATAATGTCAATAAGAAATTAAAAAATAAAAGTATTTTATCATAAAACGTTTCTCTAATTCTGAGAAGAATCCATTAGGCTATCAAAGTTTTGGCTGCAATGAATATACAGATAAGAGTATTTTTTTCACTAAATATTATAAATATAAGTGGCTCGAACCACGAATAATTATGTAGCTCGAATGCAGCTGCGGAATTTTCTGAAGCGTTGCGATTAATTTTTATGCTCTCAATCTGTCACGTCGGTTGATAAGAGAGCGTGCGTTTTGCGCAACCTTCGCATCACGCTCTGCAGATGTTCGGTCTTGATTTAATACGATCTCTGAACCAGATTGCTGCGGATCTACAATCCAGTAGATGATGATGTCAACGAAAACAAAAGCTTATTAATACGTTCTTGATTAGAATCTTCTTGGAAGAAATATTTTTTCTCTAAACTAACAAACTTATGGAGAATGTGTATTTATTTGTTAAATATTACATCAATTTTTTAGGTGAAATTATTTTGCACGGTTATTTATAGAATTTAACAATATAATTTCGCGTTTAAACTCTATAAATTTAAATACATGTCTAACACATATTTATAAATAACTTTATGCAAAATATATTTTAATGAATTTATGAATATGTAAAAAAGCTTTATCGCATTTTTCCAAAAAAAAAAAAGATATATATTCTGCAATTATATTTTTGCAAATGTCACGAAACTGCTTGAAATATTACAAGTCGCAGTAAGTTACATAATCGCAGAAAGTTATCTGCGATTTATGCTTGAACAATTTTTTAATTGTATTCTTATCTCGAGACAAGCGAGGCTTATAAAGCGAAACTTATATGCACAAAGACATGCAATATTTAAGTCGAATGATTCACAAGGAAATGTTGAGTAATTCTTCGGACGAATCACCTTGTAAATTATATTGAGTGAAACAAAAGAAAGGCCGAATTGCTACAAACTGTATATGATAGCAATAAATAATTATATTTATTTTCGATAATTATATATCAAAGAAATTTTTTCTTGCATCATGTCGTTTTCCAGTAATGTCTAATAGTTTTTCCTCTACACTTGACTAATGCCTCGCGGGCAAGCATTAACATTTAAAAGCTTCCTTCATGCAGTTTTACATTACACACGATGTGCCTGACATGCGAACGACGTGCGTTAAGAACTTTCCATGCGATATTGTGATTAATATTTTCAAACGAAATGTTATTACGCTACACGTATCTTTTATTCGCAGTAGAGTGGCTCTAAGTATCTAACTGCAATTGAATAATAATTTATTCAGTTAAGTATTTTCCTTGTCAACATTACTTTTTTGCGATCATCTTTCGATTTTTTAATTTCCAAGATTCCACAACATCGTATTAATTCATTATTTTTTTCATATGCCTTTTTTATTATGCACAAAGCAGCATGATAAATATTCCACGTATTGTCGATTATAATATAGAAAAGCGCGCAAAGCGAAATGTCATTGCCGGCTAAATTTGAATTGCGAAAGTCGGACGTTGCACCCGGGCGTAAGTGCAAACGCGATAATATGTCGACTTCGATTTCGGCAGATATTTTCGTCCATGCAAATGTGTCGGAATTAGAACACGGTAATGCTTTTACATATGCGAATATCAAATAAAAAAAATTGAATATCAAATAAAAGATGCTTAAATATTTAAATATTTAATATCTTGATTTCATCTCAGAATTTTTATATTAGATAATTTTATTAATATTACTAGAATCCATCTAAAAAATGTACTGTAATTTTTAATATTAATAAAACAATTTAAACAAAACTAATTATATTAATCTTTAATGCTAAAACAATTTTCTCATTTTAGACTCAGATAATTCGTCAACCGTGTATTTCGTCTCTGAAATGTTTAGAATTTCTCAAAGTTGGTAATATACCAAAAATTGCTTTATAAAATTAATATAAAATTCCGCGCTGTATATTTCATCATCTCTCTTACATGTTAAATCTCATACATTTGAAATGAGAAAAAAAAAGTATTTGTGTCTGAAACATTTTACATATACTTTCCTAATAATACAAATTCTAACAAGCGCGTTTGAAAGGATATAGTTAGTCGTGGGATCTGCATCCTAACAAATGAATATGCTCGAACAGCAAACGAGTCTCGTGAGTAGCACGTGGCCGCTCGCAAAAGGCCTACGTCTCCATGTGTGCGTGTCATGCGGCAGAGTTCGTCGGTTACACCATCGTCGCGGCCGCAATTAAGGCGAGCAGTGCCACATGCAAATGGTCGCATTGTCTTGACCCAAAGTGGCGCGATCTCGGTCGGCTCATTGTGCTTTCACGGACAGCTTGCACGACAGGGAAGGAGAAAAGAGAGGAGAAGATAGATAGAGAGAGAGAGAGTCGCAAAAATCGTAGCCCGCTCATTTGCACCGGCTGCACAATACACGCGCCTTGGACGGAAACGCGAACGATTTTCCATTAAATGGCTCTGCCTCCGAGAGATTTGGATAATTGCACCGAATAACTCAAGAGTTAATCGAGAGCCCGTGCAGATGTAAATCGAGCCTGATGTAAGACGACCGAAAAATGTTCTAATTACGGTTACTGACTTATTTTATATACGATACTTTCCGAGTTAATGAATTTCCACTGCATTTAATGGATCGTAAAAATTAGAGTACTATAGTTTCTCGAACTAGAAAATCGTTTGTATTTATCGGACTATAGAAAGAATAAAAGAAAGTTTTTTATTTTAGTTTTCTAAATTAGCAATATTAAAATTCATTAGCTTTTTCTAATTGCATTCATTTTTTATTATAAAATTAGAAAATTGCATGAATTGCATAATTTCAACTAATGAAACATGTATGATGTTAATCTAGCATTATAAGAAAATATAACAATACACAATGACATGTAAATAAGACGTTAATCATGAACATTTTATATAGGTATAATTTTGAACAGATGTTTTCTATCATTATATAGTAATATGATTACATATGTATTCAATTGCAAATTTAATAGTTACTTTAAATAAAAAATGAGATGTTGAAATGGTGTGTTCCAATTCTGTATATAATTATGCCTATCAATCCATTCTTCAACAATCTCATTATCTTTTAACATAATCGGAAAAACAAGATTGAGCTCTACACATCAAAACAAAATAGCATCTATAATGACGCTACATCTCTGTTCTATTCTTCCATCCGATATGCAATCACTCGCGAGCAATGTAATGAATGCGCATATAGCGAAGATATTACGCAAGCAACTGAAGTAAATATCCAAGATTCGATGCAAAAGTCATGTTTTTCATGACGTTTTCCGCCCCGTGGCTCATCAGAGACACGTGCGCGCCGATAAAATTAATTAATGCACGTTACGCAACGCGTGGGCGGTGTTCCTACGCTCGTTCCCGTAGAATCAGCAGGATTTCCGAACCAGAGTGTCTAGTAAATTTTGAAAATAAAATTTAAGAACATTTCCAGGACATTTCAAAGAAATTTGCACGATTTCCCAATAGTATTATAAAAATGTACAAGAAATTAAGAACTTTATTTTCTTTATCAAGTCGATATAAGAAAATTAATATATGCATTAAAATCTATAAATAAAAAATATATTGTATTATTTACAAAGTAAGATACAATATTTTATCTCGAATAGTCTCAACTGCTCTTTTAACTGAATGTTTCGAAGTAGCGAAAAAATCGAGAATCTACGAAAAATTGAAGTATACATTTCCAGAACGTTTAAAGAACAAACAAAATTCCAGAACATTTCAAGAACTAAAAGAATTTAAGGAACGGCTAGA